GTAGAGAGAAATATCGCAGATCACAAGTTGGTACTCGCCACGGCGAACCCATGTAATACGATCGCAACTGCCGTTGTTGTTGAACTAATACCACAATAATCACGATTAATTTCAACCATATTGTTCTGGTGAATAATCGCAGAAAAATGTGGAAAAAAACTAACTCGATGCCAGCAATAAGTAGTGTTATAGGCGCCGACGATGAGAGTAAGTCTTGGATCTGTTGAGGCTCCATACCATCTACTTTTCTCGACACTCCCTCTTTTCGGGTTAATAAGGATACCAGAAGCCACTCTGAGTAACCCAGAAAGCCGTATGTGGGTGGTGACACTGCAGTGTCGTCACCATTATCATCTTTTCGAGGAGTCACCGCCATTAGCACTGAGTCAACTGCAATGTGAACTGTGACTGGTCTGTGAGAATTGCTGATTTTGCGGTGATATGCAGTAGTCGTGAAATATGTTGTCACTAGTGTTTTTCATATCACTAGGGTGGTGGTGAAACTCTAACATATAGTCCAGGTAATATCTATATGCTATTTATATTACAATATTTCACTACAATCCATTCTGTATATTGATGCTATATTATATTGGAGTTTAACAACAACCCGTTTTACGTAAAGTGGCGTCGTAAAACTCGCGATATTCGCGGTGATATGCAGTAGTCGTGAAATATGTTTTTCATATCACTTGGGTGGCCGTGAGACTCCAATGAATAATATAAAATAGTATACAGACATTTCACAGATCCACGCCAAATTGATAAACCCCCAGATGATGAAGTGCCAAGTAGTGGTAGCCACCATTGCTAGTGTGTGATGCTACGAATGAGTAATAATAATCAGCAATAGCGGTAAAACAGCAGTACGTTGTTACGACAATTCAATGTAACAACAACTTCACGTAAATGCTTACCCGACAGACTTTCAAAATGTAGTTCGCATTCGATATCGTGAAAATTTCCCTTTAAATGAGGACAACTCTAGAAACACAACAGTTTACTCTCTTTCTTCGAAAGTACCAGGAACAGTCGTATAGACCATACAAGCTGAGCTACTCCCCTTAGTTGGAGGCAGCGACGCCAGCCTTCTTAGCAACAGTACCCTCCTTGAAGCCGTTCTTAGCTCTGCGGTCGACAAGCTTGAGATAACGACAACGACCAGAACCGGTGGTGCGACGACGCTTAGCCTTGATTGACCAGTTGAAGCTTCGCATCTTCCTGTTGGGGAAGCCGCAAGAAGCACAGTGCTTCTGCTGAGTATGGAAACTGACAGAAAATGAATTGGAAATGCTGTTGAAGTCGAGTATTACGATCTCTTGCCGCAGCGTACGCAGAGGCCGTGAGATTTGGTCAATCTACGTCCGAACGAAGTGGTACCCTTAGTCTGAAACAACCACCAAAATTATAATAAGAAAACTCCAATCAAGTGATGAGACTAGCAATACAACCTCGTAGACATACATACCCTCCCGTATTACCATGTTGCCTGATAGACTCCTGGATAGAGGCTCTTTTGATAGCGTTCGCCTACGGTATCGATCAGCAAGGCGAGCGAGATTTACACAGAGAATCGAAACGTTGTACGCGGGCGCAAGATGAGTTTGAAAGATTTTGGTGGCTTAAGGCATGTACAGCGGAGCTTAGGTTTCAATAGGGACTTGTCATTGGGGAATGGAGTTTCACCCGCTATACGTAAAGTGGCATAATACTCTGTGGAAAACGCGATATTCGCGGTGATATGCAGTGGTCGTGAAATATATTTACCACTAGTGTTTTGCATATCACTAGGGTGGTGAAACTCTAATGATAAACTTGTGTGATGAAGCATTGAGGGATTCGCGCCTCTATGGTGTGTCTGTAGACCAACTCGCTGTTGATGTGTTGTTTTTGGTAACCGTATTTGTGTTCAAGCTCACTCAGCCATGCAAATCTTCGTGAAGACTCTCACGGGTAAGACCATCACTCTCGATGTGGAAGCCTCTGATACCATCGAGAATGTCAAGGCGAAGATTCAAGACAAGGAGGGTATCCCTCCGGACCAGCAACGTTTGATCTTCGCTGGCAAGCAGTTGGAGGACGGTCGCACTTTGTCCGACTATAACATTCAGAAGGAGTCAACCCTCCATTTGGTTCTTCGTCTGCGAGGTGGTATGCAAATCTTCGTGAAAACTCTCACGGGTAAGACCATCACTCTCGATGTGGAGGCCTCTGATACCATCGAGAATGTGAAGGCGAAGATTCAAGACAAGGAGGGTATCCCTCCGGATCAGCAGCGTCTCATCTTCGCTGGTAAACAACTCGAAGATGGACGTACCTTATCGGATTACAACATCCAGAAAGAGTCCACCCTTCACTTGGTTCTCCGCCTCCGAGGTGGCTGTCTTGTGAGCATTCTGAGTTCTGTAGTTTATTGAAATACACCGTTAGTGTCGGCTTGGTCAGCCGATGTAGTGGCGTCGACTAGCTAGTGAGCTCCTCTAGTATTATATAATAATTGACAATTGGGGTCTTGCTGCTACTGCTATTCTATACGAGCATATGTACTAGGTTAATAGAAACGCTCATTTGCTATTAAGGCTGTTGTGTTGTAAGTCAGCGCGACGAGACGTGATACCTCCGAGTTCTTCCCCGCACGAAGAAGCGAAAGAAATTTAATTTTCGAACCTCCGACTGAGACAAATTGTTGGAAGTTTTTAACCACGGCTTTACGTTGATGAGGCAGTAAGGATGTTTTCGGGCCCATCCTGGAGGTGTACACAGGCCGTGGGTTTTGAATGACGTTCTCTTTCTGTGGGGTGTTCGAGAAAAGCCTCATCCCTCGGCATTTTTCAGCGCATGTGAATATTTGGCGAACTCTGGTACGCTCTCTTAAATGGTGGTTGAATCACCTTCATAATCGATATGTTATGACGAGATGAAGTAACAAACAGACAGCACCGCTGGGTGTCGCTTTTGGAAAAGTATATTATCACAGAACATGATATACCAAGTCATGATGCCAAACAACCAGGCGTCATAATCTGTCTTATTCAGCGGACTAGGTCTGATCGTGAGTGGTCATACCTCTTGTCCAGGGCCGCAGCATCACTCGCCTGGATCGGCCTCCTTTGGCAGGCTTGACGGCAGGGCTCTTAGGGCTCACCGAGCCAACTCGAAGTCGGAAGCCAACTGTCTTAGAACTGCGTATCTTATCTGTTGCCTCTGGTATGATGATGGTCCATGGGATTGTTTTCTGGAAGCTGCGGCGGTGGACAGTTATACTCGGATACCCGCACACGTTTCGAAACGAACGAGTCTTGTGGCGCATAGAGGTACCAGGCTCTGTCCATCATCAAGGATCTGCACTGTTCCCTCTCGATTTATGACCTACGAAGCCTGGAAGCTCGCCATCGTCTTTTTGGCAGTATACGCCCGAAACTTAAAGTATCTGGTTGAGGCCTCCGACCCTGTTACTGATGCTATTCATGACCTCGAACGAGACCTCCCTATGAACGCGACGCTCACCAGCAACATACCTGATCCTATCTACTTCAAGTTTGGGTCTGCCTACAACATCACTCAAGCCGCGATGGTGTTTCCAGACAACTACACACAGCTCATCACGGTTCTGACCATCTGCCACAACTACAAGGTCCCCGTGGCCATCCGTAGCGGGGAGGGCCACTCCTACATCGGCCAGAGTAGCGTCAACAACGGCATCGTCCTCAGCTTGCAGCGGCTCAAGAATCTCGATGTTGAAATGGTCGATGGCGACTATATAGTCCAGATGGGTGGAGGCCTCAGCTTGATCGACGTCTACACTAAACTGGCATATCATGATCCCCCTCTAGGTTTCGCTGGTGGCTGGTTCCCGAGCGTTGGAGTTGGTGGCTTCATTTCGGGTGGTGGCCACGGTCTGCTCAGCTCCAAGTACGGCATAGGGGTAGACCGACTTGTGGCCGCTGACGTCGTCATATTCAACAAAACAACACAGATCTTTCAACTTGTCAAGGCCACGTTGACCAACGAGCACGCTGATCTCATGTTCGCCATTCGCGGTGGGATGGGTGGCAACTATGGTGTAGTGGTGAATTTCTACTACAAGGCCTTCGTTGCTGGGACTGTCCTATTTTCTTCCGGGTCTGTCAATGAGTCCAGCGTGCGAGGACTGGCTACCTACGTGGACCGCTTCATGGAGTTTATGCAAAGGAATGACTCCTCGGAAGATTTCTCGGCGGTGCTGATCTCTCCAATGCCAGCACCTACTTATTACTTCTCTATCTGTACTTGTAACACCACTGACAACTGTTCGAGCTGCTACGCGGTCACTTCAGCGTTCAGAGCTTCTACTGGAATCAACGGTTCGACAGGCTCCCTGCCCTCCCTGAAGGAGATGAGCTTGATTGAAGCACAGTGGGCTTCGTTCCATTGCCATCACCTGTATCCAGTGGAGGGTATACCTGGTGTCCCGCCGGGGAACTTGACGATGCTGATGACTGCTTGCCTCAATATCACTCGCCAAGTGTTGAACCAGTTCAGTATCGAACAGACACATAACTTCTTCCCCTCGAAGATTCCTCTATATGGACTGGAGGCCATGGCCGCCAAGCTGTTCAATGCTGACTGTAGAAGCTATGGTTGCTTCAAGTACGTATTGCCATACACTCACCAGATGCTCGAGGAGCCGACTGATTGCCTCCCTGATCCTGGTCAGAAGTGCACCTCCTTCGACCATCGACAACGTGGCTTCTCTATTGAGCACGGCTTCCTATTAGGTCGTAATGGAGACCCTTCTATAGTAGCTATGCCGTGGGTGAGAAACTTGTCCGAGACTGTGCGGCCCTTCTCCATCGGCACCAAGTATCAGAACTATGTCGAGTCAACCATGACTCGTGATGAGTGGATTCCTCGTTATTTCCCACATAATGGAACATATGAGAGGCTCCAGAGGGTTAAGTGCGAGTATAATTCTATAAACATGTTCAGCTTTGCTAATATAAGTAATTTCACTATTGGCATGGATGGAACTGACTGTGGTAGGCCTACTGGCCTTTGCTGACATAGCGTATTTCTATATGACTACTCAAGACTGTGACTGTGGAGACCTGAGTGCCTCCGGTCTTGGTATGTATAGCTCCGTTTCCTGATATATTTTCCTCCTATTACAAAAGATGGCATGACTCATGTGCATCAGTGAGTGTGTTGTGTTGCCATGAGATGATGAGTCAACTTGTTGAGAGCCGTGAATCGCTCTAACGCTTCCTATCCCTCCCAACTTGAGAGCCATGGGGCACTGTAGCAGCTTGTGTCACGAGGGATGCTGCTTGAAGCGGTTCATGGGTTCACCGAGTTCCAATCATTCAGCCGTCCTCAGCTTTCACCGCTTTAGCGGCAGTAATAATTAACGGCAATCGTGATCCTCACACGAGCACATCGCTGCGAGACATCACGTGATTCATCCTCTAGCTGACACGAATCGGTCGCCGCACACGTTATATAACTCACAAAGGAGGTTATTTTCTTCCCCTACGCACTCACGAGCCTTCCTAAGTTCGCAAAACTCGAGGAAACCTCTGTTGAGCCAGCAGACGAAGAGAGTCTCTGTGGAAAAGAGGTTAAGAGGATCGCAAGGGTTGTGTAACAGCGATTGTCCAATACTGTTAATAGAGTTCATCATCGACAAGGCGCCTTCGAAGATGGCTGCTCCTCCCCATAGTACTCACGACTAACTCAACCAAAGCTTCTTAGTGACATTCGATGATAACAATGAGAGATAAATTGAAAAATCATGAAGCCAACTCCCTAATCGACGGTATAAAATTTCAAAACGCCACCAGGATGTGCCGTCCGAGGACGGATGACACTGACAATAACATGCTATCATCTAGGAGCAATATAATGACGACCTGCTAATAGATGAGTACTGAGAGTGACTGTGGGATACAGCGAATGCATCGAGCACAGCGCTCGGGGCACTGTAGGTCCCCGTTATGCAAAGCTTTCACCATCGTTCTCTGAAATACTCTGCATATGGCAAAAAATGAGATAGAGCAAGATCATGATGACGAAACCGATTCTAACAGTGCACGACGATAATCTCAAGTACCAACAACCGGAACGAGTTCTTCGCCCTTTCTCTTCCCAGGATTGCAGTATCGCTATGCACGGTACATAAGGGATCGGCGAGGGAACGTGAACTGCTACCTCACAAAATCTGCAGTTACTGAAGGTGCTCGAACCTTTGAGTTCATGATGATCCACCTGAGAAGGATTGTAAAAGTCATGGGGAGAAGGTTGGGAATTGTTGAAACGAAGATGCTGAGGGCCTGCATCGGCCCGGGTGACCAGACAACTGAACCAACAGAATGACGCTACTGTGTCGTGCCTGAAGATCGTGTTGTCCTTGTACCAACTGGGGATATCATTGTTTACGAAGTCCATGGTTAGGGAATGATAGTATGGCTGGTCACAACAACGAGCTCGCTAGTTCGCTGAATAATGATTCGCTAGTTCGTACTGAGCTGAGCGCTATTGGCTAAGTGCTAAACGCTTAGTCCATGCTTGCTTGATATGTTCGTGAAAATGGGGGAGACTTAGTGAACGAGCCCTTGCCGTAGACACATTGTAGTAATCCCACAGGGTCAAGGATATCTTTGAGTCAGCGGCATTGTAGGTTACAACCTGTAACACTGACACTGGTATCAAGTGAGATAGATAAAGCTGAGCCATGACCTTGCAAATCGCGACTTGCCATATAGTGAACATCGATTGTTCAACATCATCTCAACGGTCAGGGCAGGATTGTGTTGTGAGACTTGGAAGCGACTCGGCCTCGTGAGTCCTATATCCGCCTACATACTTCCATCGGGAGGGAGATCCGCTCATTGATATCACCTCTGCTAAGCTATCTAGGCATAGGAGGGCTCAATCTCGTGTATGCCTTGTAATGGTTCGATACTGATGGACTTGACCCAAACTTGGTTATGTCTACGTATGTCATTTAGAGGACACTCGTTCCGGGTCATCCGAACAAGACTGACAACACAACAGAGAATTACATGGATCACAGTGACTGATCTGACCAATCTTTCAAATAGGTATACCGCTTAGGCAGAAGGTCCACTGAAGCCCACTTCTCCGTTAACTCGCTGATAAACTCGTCATGCTCTGATACAAAGAAGCAAGGCAACGATAGATCGAAAAGATTTCCTTGAGACTAGGAATACTTCTTCGGTCATCATTCAGAGCTGGTCCGGCTCGCAGCGCGGATAAGGTCAACTCGCTGTCTATTCTCTGACTAACAGCATGGTGCGTCGAGCTTCCTCGTTGCAGTTCCGAAGCCCCGCTAGCTCTCGAGGACTCACTAGTGTACGGCATGGTTTGGGCTTCCAAGAGATAGGTCCTTGCAAAGGTACTTGAAGAGTTCATGCAGGTGCCTCGTTGTAAGGTTGAGGCATTCTCGATGTCCGGCATAGTGCGGGCTCCCAGTGTAGAGGCTCTTGACGTTCCACCCACATGGTGCATGGAGTTACGTATTGGGGAGCGCTCAGTAACTGACATAGTACAGCATCCGAGTAGAGAAGCTCTTGGATGCTCGCCGGCGTGTTGCGTGGAGCTTTCTCGTTGTAGTCGCGAGACCGCACTGAACTCCGAGGATGCCGGAGCTTGCAGCATACCTTCGGCTATCACTGGAGATTCTCCCGTATAAGCGATATTCTCGTGAGAGTGCTCGATTTGAGTATTCAATACATCAATGTTCAAGGGATCGAAAACACCCAACAACTGTCGCCTCTCATTGCTGGCCATCTGTATTTCTTTGGATGAAATCCCTTCAGATTCTCTCTTCTCAAACTTATCTGACGGATAGCCGTCCTTCTTGAACTCTCACAAGGAAGTGAACAACCTTTGAGTGTTCGAGAGTTAAGCCGCCTTCCTCGCTGTGCGAGTGTTCGTTGATCTCGGCCTAGCTGGGCCGTTCCGATACTTTCATTGAGTCCATTCCTTGCGGGAAGAGCTCCCTTCAACGATACTCCGCCTATGCGGGCATTCCCGTTTATGTCAACTCCGGAGGAATGTCGGCGTCGGATCGAGGAATGTGTACGTGTGCGCTTGTCGGATAAACTCGGGTTCGTGGGTGTCTGCAGAGCGCCACAGTGATGCGTCGTATCCACAAGCGCTCTACACGTATAGGTTCACTTACTCTGCCTTCCTTCGGCCAGCTAGGTTGTTGAGGTTTACTATCTGTTGCTGCAGTTATTCCCTCCTCAGTTGAATCACGGTACTTTGGCCCAACAAGCGCCTGCCACAAAGAGAATCCAGCTCTGGTTAGCAGCAATGTAACGAGCCTATCTCTGGAGGTACCCACATATGCACAAGTGTAGCTGGACCCATTGTTGTCAAATCAGAACGCTTTAGTGACAAGTCACCCACATATTTCATGGTTTTCGCTCTTACTGATACTTGCTGAATATCTCCAGACAGCGCAGCTGTGCCATTCAAGCCTTAATATGCACAACTCCACCAGAGCGTGGTGTAAAGGGTATTTCAAAATCCCATGAGCACTCTTGAATATACACAAGCCAGTGCGGGTTGAGAGTCTTCGGGAGGCCAATTTCAAGCGATACATTTCTGGCACGGACATCTCGCACTCTTAGAGGAATCACGTCGTGCGTGCTCATAGTGGTTGTCACGAATTACAAGTTGGGATGGTCGAATCTTAGAGATATACCTCAGTTCTGGGATGACTTATCTGTCTCGAGGGTACTCATTGATTCCTGCGTGGAAATGATGTCACTCCTGACGTGTCGAAGAAATTGATCTTCGTAGATTGTGTGTCATATCTTTGGGTGGCATAGTTGCCCCATCTGGAAAACTCGAATGTATTGAGTCATATCTTCGGGTGGCATAGTTGCCCCATCTGGAGAACTCGCGTGTATTGAGTCATATCTTTGGGTGGCATAGTTGCCCCATCTGGAAAACTCGAGTGTATTGAGTCATATCTTTGGGTGGCATAGTTGCCCCATTCGTCGAAGCTAAGGGTATCAAGAGCGCCATCCGCCCTCTAAAAGCTTACAGCTTATAGCTTCAGTTCTCTTTACGACTAAACTTTTATCATTCCACTCCCACGCGTTCTGTACGAGCGTTACTGAGGAAGCGCTGGTATTCACTCACATCTCTTCTTCTCTTATCTATGTTGTGCATCAACCATGACCCCACGCGTGGGAAGTGGTATTTATAAATGCCGCTCAGATCGTCCGACCATTCGTGTACTTGGAGTCGGAAAGTCGGCGCATTGCTAGGCGGCTGGGACCCTAATACAGCAGTATAGCGTCATTGGCATAACAAACCTGACTGTTGATATTATGATTAACATTGTGGGCCCCATCAGATCGTCCCCTTTGGTTGTTCAAAGCGATCTCGGCACCTGATATCCTCAAGTCGATATTGCGAGTCGATTTCGCATATGTCGAGTCGATATTTACCACTCACTATTCGACAGTGTCAGAGGTACATATTCTGCAAAAGCACTTGCCGGTGGACATGCCATGTCGGACAGATGACTGCGGTGGAAATTAGCTGTGAAAAGATAGAGGTCAACTCTACTCAACAAGTTTTCGATTGTCTCGGCAGCTATAATCTGATCGCGTTCTGATCTTTTGCATTATGATCGGACCGTCAACTCAATTCGCCCCAAACTGCATGCACATGTGCCACACAGAAGCGGAGATCCTCTATCGAAGGATCATCAGTCAAATTGGCGGAGAGGCAACGAAGTTGTTAATCAGCTCAGCACGTGATGCTGTTGGTGCTAGCAACGTTGGATAATTTGGGTCTAATTTACCATACGAATGAACAACAACAGTGCCGCCACCTTTATTGTGATGAATTCAAGTGTGCACACAGTAGATGCCCATCCTCCAGAAACTTGTGAATGATAGGAACAGCAAATGTGAACGAGTCAACTTGATGAAGAAAGAAAGTCATCGTGCTGGCGCGTGGTCGATGCCAGATGGTCTGGCCACTTCAGTTTCCATCGCGGGAGAGCCGATGCCGAGAGCGATGCGAGCCACCTCTTCGAAGTCTCGCACGAAGTAGATCGTGAGATTACTCTTAAGATACCTGAGAAAAGAGTATCAGGGGTTCTCCAGCAAAGCTCTTACGAGCCATCAGAAACCTAAACGTGAAAGAAAACTCTCACACGATGTGAGCCACAACCAACATGATGATCGAGTACGCCACGATTCTCTAGGCGAGTGCTTGATAGATTAATAGACTGACTGGCAACTCTAGAGGGAACGACGGATCACTTCTACGAGCTGTTAACAGTTGCTTATTCAAACGTGCGAGGGATTGCCGAGACTAACTAATTTTCCGGTCGCAACTATACACACTCTGGTAGCTCTGCTGCATCGTGTTTATTCTGTAGGGGTAAACACAGTGTCGTGACACCAGCTCGGACGGCAGCAATTGCCTTTTCCTTCACTCCTCCAATGGGTAATACCAAACCTGACAACAGACAATACACCGAAGAGACAGCGTGCATCCAGATTGTTACCACTGAGCGAGAGCTCTCCAGTCATCGCTAAATTGTCTTTGACTGACCTCTGTAGAGCCTGCAAAGACATCAACCTCGGTATCGCGAGAGGCGCTCCAACTCACCAAAGAGCACAATGCTGTAGCAATAGTAACTCCAGCCGAAGGGCCATCCTTTGGAGTAGCTCCTTCAGGGAAATGCAAATGTATCTTCGTCGTATCGAAAAACTTGGAGTCGGGTTGGATAGAATGAACAACCTGATCACCGGACCCACTCCATGCACCTACGCAAGTGAGTCGCTCACTCTCTTCGCCACAGTAAGGGCGATCTTAGTAGACTCCGACATGACCTCCCCCAACTGTCCGGTTATCTCAATCCCACCTTTAGGATCATTGCTAGGGACCTGACCCCGACACATAGAAGGAGACTGATCGCAGCCCCGACATACCACGACAGTCTCCGTATATAAAACTGTCCCTCCCATCGCCGTCCAAGCCAGTCCCATCACGACTCCTGGAGGGGACGTACCTGCATACACTAGCTCAACAGCGAGCTGAGAATAGGGAAGTCAACACCGGCCACCTTCAAAGAGGCGCTCGCTCGTGAATGCAGGTTTGCCAACTAGATCGACCAGCCGCTTGGGAGTGATGATACAGTCGACATTCTCAGGCACCTGAACAATTATAAGCTTCTTCACAACAACGCATTGGCATATATAAGTTTGAGCGTGCAAAGAACGGATAGAAATCTGAATTGTCGTCTATGAGGAAAAGCCACAAATTGCGGCAGATGCACATCGCTATCATTTTGGTGGTCCTAAGATCAATGTCCACCTTCCGAAACAGATCAATACCTTACCCCATATACTATACATTATAATAGTTTGTTTTACACCGTACCAGCACGGCGACCATACGATCATACTTTCATAATAACAACTCAGCTACACTATCAGAGCTGTTCATGAGTGGATTCAGTAGCGGACCTCATACCTCTCTCATCAGCTTATCACATCCAGTCTCCTTATTGACGTCCCATAACAACGACGGGTCCCTTCTCCCGTATTCCTCTTCCTCTGATACCACACCCTCGTCTTCTTTCGCCTCCACGGTGGTTGCGACTTTTTCCTCGGGCGTCGTGGCTTTATTCTCAAGGAGCGACCTGCAACTCTACCATAGACTCAAGTACTGCGATTAATGAGTTGATACGATGGTCAATGCTGAGATGTATTCGCTTCCCTCAGCTGAGCTCAGAGGTTTCCAAAGCTAATTACAGAACTTTATATATGAAGTAGGGTAGAAATGTAGATGCGTCAACGGGAATTTCCCAAAAATTTCCTTAGAATTTTCATACGGTCACCAACATATGCGGTGTTGCTGAGCTCACTTTTGTTCCTTCTCCTTGGCAACCATAAAACTGAGCTTTCGCATAATCTTATCTACATGCTTTTCAAGATTGCGCACACCAGCCTCTCGACAGTAACCCTTGATGAGAGCCTCAATTGCCTTCGGCGTGAACTCCACCTAAAATCGCAAAATGAACAAGTAAACATTCGCTGACCACAATCCTTCAAAAATGCTAAATTTAAGTAAAAAAACTATGTCTAGGATATTTGGTGAAAGAATCGGCTCAGAACTCCATATAGTCAAAGTGAAACCAATCCAATATAGATGCCACGTACTGCGATATTATAAAAATTCGCGAAAAAGCCGATATTTTAACAATTGTATATACGGCCTCACAACCAACAAGAAGCTCCTTTGCTTGCCTTCTGATTCGACAGTCCATTAGCAGTCACCGCCTTAGGAATCAAATACTGCGTGGCAATTTGCACTTTCTCGGGTAGGTCATAGCCCGACAGTCTGATCACTTCCATACGATCCTGTAAAGGACCTGAGCGACTCGAGATGACTCCCTAAATCGCTGAGTAATTTTGACAACTATATATACTAAATTCTCTCTATACCGTTGTTGGTGAATAGCAGGTGCATTCTGATATGATTCTTGTTTCCCACAGTGGAATTACAGTAGATGCACGCAGAAGAGCTTTTTTTTCAAGTTTGAAGTGCGCGACTTGGGTTTCAAAATAGGGAGTATATATAGTATTTTCGGTGAAGAAATTACCTCGAAATTCATTGGAGTTTCACCACCCTAGTGATATGAAAAACACTACTGAAAACTATATTTCACGACTATTGCATATCACCACGAATATCGCGTTATTCACAGAGTTTTACGCCACTTCACGTAAACCGGGTTGTGAAACTCCAAGGTAGTTAAGGAAAAACCAATGTGACAAAGACTGCGCGTTTCACATGTCACGTTACTATACTAAAATATGTGTTTCCTTGCCGGATTTTTCTCTCAAAAACGCACCATGTAAACTCACCCGGTACAGTATCAAGTTGATTAGCAGTACACACGAACAACACTTTCGACAAATCAACAGGTACCTGACAGATCAAATACAACACTTCTTTACATACCATCAACTCGGCAACTCACATCCATATAATGATCAGTAAAGCTATCGTTCTGATTAGGGTCGAGAACCTCCAATAATGCCGATGCAGGATCCCCTTGGTGCGACGCTCGACCCAATTTATCTATCTGATCAAATCATCGCAATGAAAGCAACAACAACTACAGTGTGGTAATACTCCATGTGAAAAATGCGTTTTTGCGATACGAAGTGAATTGAAAACACTTCGCGAATAACACCAATCAGATCACACCACTTGGCGTGAAAGGCTCGCAGCATTTCACGTGTTTTACGCGTTATTCACCGCTGACACTAGTTTTCTCGCCAAGTTGCAGGTGTGAAATATGTTCTTCACTTTTGTTTTTCATATCACGGCTGAAACTCTAATGTGCTCGATTTTGATACTCCAAAACGTCCAGAGTAGTTTATTAGAAATCTTGTACTCTCACGATCAAACACACTCTACACGTGAGCTGGCGAGATTCTCAGCGACTTGAAAGACAAATTTAACGAATATACACAAGTTGGGAGCTGACCTCGGTGATGACATCGATAGTGGTTGTTGTGATACTTAGGTAGTCTTCGCGAAGTGTTATATCTCACTCTATGAAAAAGGGGAAAAGCTATGTGTTTGCGTGCCGCGTGGTGCGGTCCGCTGCACGCATGAACAACAACAATTCTTGATGGTATCCAGAAAACTCTCCCAACCGAATGCTAACCTCGTCAATAAGAACCAGAGGGTTCTGCGTCTTCGCTTTCTTCAAACACTGTATGATCTTCCCTGGCATGGCTCCAACGTAGGTACGTCGGTGACCTTTTATTTCGGCAACATCTGAGAGCCCTCCTACCGAGAATCTGAGAGTAGTAGTATACGGCCAGGGGAATCTATAATATTTTTTGGGAACTTTCCACATTACTCGGAACACATAGGAGTTTCACGGTCCGCCGTGGTATGAAAAACACTAGTGAAAAACATATTTCACGACACAGAGTTTCACACCACTTCGCGAAAAACTCATCTGAGCGGTGAATAACGCGCCAACAAAGTCACTTCACTTCAAAACGCGTTTTTCACTTCGAGTATCACGCCACTTCACGTTGAACGGGTAAAACTCAATTTCAGCTCACCTGTAAAACTCCCTATTAATACTGCGCGCAATACTCTTACCAACGCTGGTCTTTCCGACACCTGGCGGCCCAACCAAGCAAAGTATCTTGCCGTGAAGTGAACCTATTCTGAATCTTTCAATTCGAACATTACCAATAAAGTTCCACCCTAGTGATATGAAAAACACTAGTGAAAAATATATTTCACGACTACTGCATATCACCGCGAATATCGCGTTTTTCACGACGAGTAGTACGCCACTTCACGTAAAACGCGTGAAGTTACCTTTTAATTTTCCAACAGCGATAAACTCCAGTATACGCTCCTTCACATCCTTCAAGCCGTAATGATCTTCATCGAGGACCTCCGAAGCTCGGGCAATATTGAAATTATCCTGAAAAACAGCATACCCACCTAGAGGGAAAATAGGATACTATAACATATACATCGTTAATAACGAACTATAACGATTCGTTATAGACCTGATACGCCGAGGCTATGCACTACCCGATGCAGTGTTAGAGGAATATATGTTCGCTGTCCTCAGCTGCTGAGCTGAGGAGTTTCCAAAGCTAATTATAGGAGTTTGCACACGATTTCGGGTAGAAAAATATTCAAAAACCAACAGAAAATTTTATCACAATTTTCACATTGTTACCAACACATGTGGATGAACATTGCGTTTTTAGACAATTCACGTTTCAATGATTAATCTTCAGTCAGAAGCGATGGGATCTCCAACCCTCCTCAGCGTGCTTCCTTCCCATTGTGGCGTAGCATGCTGAGATTGAAGCTTTGCCCACTCCCACTTCAGCAAGCTCTACAAGTTCTCCCAATACGAGCATATTACACCAGAGGTAAGCTTGCTCACGGAAGTTACTCAGTAGTGATAGGCGTAAATAAAACTTCATTTCCTCCATTTTGACATATTGGAGTTTCACAAACCGTTTTTCGTGAAGTGGAATCGTAAAACTCGGTGAAAAACGCGATATTCGCGGCCTGTAGTAGTCGTGAAATATATTTTTCACTAGTGTTTTTCATATAACTCCTATCAAATTTGTATCACTAATATCATGAAGTATGTGAGATATAACTTCACTGAATATCAGCGTTGGAATAGGAATATATGTTTACTGTCCTCAGCTGAGCTCAGGAGTTTCTCCAGCAATTATACAAAATTACTTGTGAATTCGGGTAGAAGTAAACACAAACCAACAAGAATTTTCATATTGTCACCAACACATGTAGTTGACCATGTGCATATTTTTTCCACACTGCTGAATATCATAAAATTCACTTTCATCCTACTCTGCATCACAACAATTGCTATCAACACCTCACCTCGCTGTAGATCCCCCAAGGCAAGCTCGTCAGCCATTCTAGGTAGCTTCTGGTGATATTAAATTCAGAACTGTTCTGCTCCAGAAACGACAACTTGTTCATCTCAGCGTCGATGGTCGTTTGAACGTCTTTCGGCACCTTATAAATTTCATCCACCCTTCGATGAGATAATACGCCACTTACCGTCTTGCCCTTCAGAGCCTCTCTAAAGCGCTCTAAAACGGCCTGAGATAGGAAGCTGCAGTGCTACAAAAAATGTTCGCTCTCGTCAGCTGAGCTCAATGTTTTCCTCACTAATCATAGGATTTCACATACGAATTGGAAGAATATATTCGAAAAGTGCACTGGAACTAACGAGGATATTCCAAAATTTCCTCAGAATTTTCATATTCTCACCAACACATGTGGTTAACCATGTGCATATTTTACCACACTGGGAAGCTGATTTCTAAAGTAGGAGAAAACGCGCATGCGTGTGAAACCGCACGCACTACTACTACTACGTTCTGTGGCTCACCTGTTTATGGGTCACCCAAGAGTTCGGGAATTCTTCCTCCAGATTAACCAGGATGCTACTCGGTGTGGCATTTTGACTCGCGTACTGCTCGATGGCCCGCGAGATGTGATGCGGCAAACGTTTACGTTTCATCAGACGGGTACGCCTTGTATGGCAACCTAATATACGCGACAGTCCAACATCAACCCGCATTTTGTTAGTCAGTACTACCTGACTCATGGACTACCACGTTGGTCCCCTCCGGCTTCACGCGAAACTTTTTGTCGCAATTCTCATGGCGACCACAGCGATATACTACAACGTGTGGTTTCTTCGAAAACTCAACGATTAGATGGTAGTTCTTCTTCAGATGGCACTTTGCCTCCTCAAAAGGGCACTCGCCCTCAGGGACTTCAACCCGAAGTTTGAATTCCCACTGGCGGCGCGGGCGGGGGATACTGGGCATGATATCCTTGATGGGTTAGAGAGGAACAGCTAGAACACATTTTTTCATAAGACTGTAATCCATCCGGGATGGACCATCCCTGGTAACACTCTCATTCAAGCGAGTGTGAGTGATCCACAAACCATGGCTACGGTGAGCGTTTCACTTATTGAGGAATCTGAGCCTATCAGCCTTCAAATCCATGATTTGATAGTCACCATCGTCGAACGCTACACCAACTGTACCATTTAACATATCTTCCGTTACTGTTCCCCGGAACCATCGTGTCCGCTACCGCCCGGACGCATCGTGAACACTGAATTCTGCCGACAATCTTCTGCCACCCAGGCCCTCCGGACAAGCGTTCTTCGGCGGGCCGGCCTGACAGTGCTGGATGACGCACTACATGACACAATCTCACTCTGAACTCGGACACGCATCGCGGACGAAAGTCTCTTGAAAAAGAGCGTCGTAGAGGGTGAGAATCCCTGGTAACGTTGAATAATTTGGATCTAATTGACCATACCAATGAACAACAACAGTGCTGCCACCTTTTTTGTGATGAATTCAAGTGTGCACACAGTAGATGCCCATCCTCCAGAAACTTGTGAATGATAGGAACAGCAAATGTGAACGAGTCAACTTGATGAAGAAAGAAAGTCATCGTGCTGGCGCGTGGTCGATGCCAGATGGTCTGGCCACTTCAGTTTCCACCGCCGGAGAGCCGATCCCGAGAGCGATGCGAGCAATCTCCTCGAAGTCTCGCACGAAGTAGATCGTGAGATTACTCTTAAGATACCTGAGAAACGAGTATCAGGGGTTCTCCAGCAGAACTCCTACAAGCCATCAGAAACCTAAACGTGAGAGAAAACTCTCACACGATGTGAGCCACAATCAACATGATGATCGAGTACGTCACGATTGTCTAAACGAGTGTTTAACGGATTAATAGACTGACTGGCGACTCCAAAGGGAACGACGGATCGAATCACTTCCAAGAGCTATTAACAGTTAAGCATTCAAACATGCGGGGGATCGCCAAGACGAACTAATAATCCGGTCGCGACTATACACACTCTGGTAGCTCTGCTGCATCGTGTTTATTTTGTAGGGGTAAACACAGTGTCGTGACACCAGCTCGGACGGCAGCAATTGCCTTTTCCTTCACTCCTCCAATGGGTAATACCAAACCTGACAACAGACAATACACCGAAGAGACAGTGTGCATCCAGGTTGTTACCACTGAGCGAGAGCTCTCCAGTCATCGCCAGATTGTCCTTGACTGACCTCTGTAGAGCCTGCAAAGACATCAACCTCGGTATTGCAAGAGGCGCTCCAACTCACCAGAGAGCACAATGCTGTAGCAATAGTAACTCCAGCCGAAGGGCCGTCCTTTGGAGTAGCTCCTTCAGGGAAATGCAAATGTATCTTCGTCGTATCGAAAAACTTAGAGTCAGGTTGGATCGAATGAACAACCTGATCACCGGACCCACTCCATGCACCTACGCAAAAGAGCCGCCCACTCTTTTCGCCACAGTGAGGGCGATCTTAGTAGACTCCGACATGACCTCCCCTAACTGTCCGGTTATCTCAATCCCACCTTTAGGTTCATTGCTAGGGACCTGACCTCATCATATAACAGAAGACTGATCGCAGCCCCGACATACCACGACAGTCTCCGTATATAAAACTGTCCCTCCCATTGCTGTCCAAGCCAGTCCCATCACGACTCCTGGAGGAGATGTACCTGCGTACACTAGCTCAACAAGGCTATGAGAATAGGAAAGTCAACACCAACCACCTTCAAAGAGGCGCTCGCTCGTGAATGCAGGTTTGCCAACTAGATCGACTAGCCGCTTGGGAGTGATGATACAGTCGACATTCTCAGGCACCTGAACAATTATAAGCTTCTTCACAACAACGCATTGGCATATATGAGTTTGAGCGTGCAAATGCGGCAAAAGGGGGATAGAAACCCAAACTGTCACCCACGAGGAAAAGCCACAAATTGCGGCAGATGCACATTGCTATCATTTCAATATCCTAAAATCGATATCCACCTTCCGAAACAGATCAATAACTCACCCCATATACTATACATTATAATAGTTTGTTTTACACCGTACCAGCACGACGACAATAAGATCATACTTTCATAATAACAACATAGCAAAAACTCCACACTATCAGAGCTGTTCATGAGTGGATTCAGTAGCGGACATTGACCACATACCTCTCTCATCAGGTTATCACATCCAGTCTCCTTATTCACGTCCCATGACAACAACGGGTCTTTTCTCCCGTATTCCTCTTCCTCTGATACCACACCCTCGCCTTCTCTCGCCTCCACGGTGGTTGCGACTTTTTCCTCGGCTGTCGTGGCTTCCTTCTCAAGGAGCGACCTGCAACTCCACCATAGACCCAAGTACTGCGATTAATGAGTTGATACGATGGTCAGCGTTGGGATATATTCTCTTCCCTCAGCTGAGCTCAGGGGTTTCCAAAGCTGATTACAGAACTTTATATATGAAGTAGGGTAGAAATGTAGATGCGTCAACGGGAATTTCCCAAAAATTTCCTTAGAATTTTCATACGGTCACCAACATATCCGGTGTTGCTGAGCTCACTTTTGTTCCTTCTCCTTGGCAACCATAAAACTGAGCTTTCGCATAATCTTATCTACATGCTTTTCAAGATTGCGCACACCAGCCTCTCGACAGTAACCCTTGATGAGAGCCTCAATTGCCTTCGGCGTGAACTCCACCTGAAATCGTAAAATAAACAAGTAAACATTCGCTGACCACAATCCTCTCAAAATGCTAAATTTTAGTAAAAAAATATATCTAGGATATTTGATGAAAGAATCGGCTCAGAACTCTATATAGTCAAAGTGAAACCAATCGAATTTAGATGTCGCGTACTGCGATATCATAAGAATGAGCGAAAAGGTCGATATTTTAACAATCGTATATAAGACCCCACAACCAACAATAAGCTCCTTTGCTTACCTTCTGATTCGACAGTCCATTAGCAGTCACCGCCTTAGGAATCAAATACTGCGTGGCAATTTGCACTTTCTCGGGTAGGTCATAGCCCGACAGTCTGATCACTTCCATACGGTCTTGTAGAGGACCTGAGCGACTCGAGA